GCTGGGGTGGGAGACGGCCGTGCCGGAGCGCATCCCGTGAGTCAGGCTCGGCTTTGCTCCCCTCAAGGTCCAGCAGACCGACCCTGTCCTTCTGGAGCCCCACGAGGAGCTGGCGATATGCAAGTACTACGAAAAGCGGTTGCTGGATTTCTGCGCCGTCTTCAAGCCTGCCATGCCGCGTTCCGTGGTGGTAAGCAGCAGTGCCGGCTCGGTGTGTCATCCGCTTGCGGTCTGATGGCTAATGGAGCTGCAGGCTTTGCCCCCTCCGTGTCTCTTGTTCCTTGGCTTGCTTGCCTTACTCCTGAGAGCACGGATGTCCCTTAAATTTTTGTTTTCCAGTGCTGCAGTCTGTGTTTCAGGCCGCTTTTTATCTCTGTCTGTTTTCTGGTCAGTGCAACTGTTTCAAAAACAGAGAGTTGTTTCTTAACTTCATCCATTTGTTGTGGCTGTTATGCTTGCATGGATGACTTTTAACAGTTTTCTTTCCTTTCCCTTAAGGAAAGAGTAGAAACAAACTCAACGATATATGGATTGATGATACAATAAAATAAGCTCACTGTAGCTAAAGGAGGTAGTCCCAAAGTTGCGCTGTCTGGTCCTGTTGTTTCTCAACCATTGGTACTTGTCTGACCACAAAGCAAGCTGGTTCAAGCACCTATACTGGCAGTAAATTAACTTACAAAGGGTGTGTGTGTGGGGGGGGAAATCTTTGAGCTGACTAATCTTGAACACAGAAGAGCACGTTTCAGAAGGGAGAGAGTAGGGACTTAGAGCTGAAGCAGCGAATGAAATTGTGCTTCTTTTGTGACCTAGCCATTAAGAAGTATGACCTACATAGTCCCCTGTCAGGTCTCCCTCTTTCTGGGGGATGTGGCAAATAAGAAAGATGAAGAGTGCCTTGTCTGAAGATGCATTTGAAATGTAGCAGTAGGCTGCCGTTACATACTCTGTGGACCCAGACCTTATATTTCGGAAGTGGCCCCTGTAGAGTGTGTGTGCTGGATCAGACTCCGCAGGTCATGGTTTTGGAAGACACCTCCCTTCATGCTGATGGCGTTCAGATCAGCTTGGAAATCTGGCACTGACAGACTGAAGTACTTTTAGACACACAGAGAAGCAGAAATGTTAAACACGCTGGGAAATTTACTGATCTAAAAAAGTGAGATCTAAACTTGGCTGGGATTACTCACAACTTCTAGGATAATTTTTTCAGTCTTTGGGTTTTAAACTTCATTTAAATACTTCATTTTTCTCATGAAGATACTGTAGGCTTTTTGAGCGTTGTCTTCTTAAATATGTCTAAAAGTGGAGGAAAAGATAAGCTGCCTTTTTGTAAGCTCTTGCCAGTCATAAATGTATTAGACTTTGAAATATTTAATGATATGGCATTGTGTGCAACTTAGTGCCTTAGTGTGTCCTGTATGTCTGTAGTATGTATTCAAACTTGCCTGTTCTGTTTTGTGACTTTATTTTTTTATTTATTTTTCTTTTTCTTAATCCATTTTTGCTTCTGTATTTACTTTTCCCTCCCTTTTTTTAACTTAGGGAACAGCTTGCATGTATTTCAAACGCTTTTACCTCAATAACTCGGTGATGGAGTATCATCCTCGGATAATAATGTGAGTTTTTAACGCATCTTGAGTTATTCTATCAAATGGAATGTTGGAGGTATAATCTTCATATCTGGAAAGACCTGAAAAAATGAGAAAGGAAATCTGAGAGCTTAAATAGAGTAAACACAAAGTATGGTCACTTTCAGTTTCCATTTGGAAAAGTTTGCTGTGTTCAGAACAGATACAAATGTTCTGAATAGAACTGTTGATAGAAAGATGGATGCTGCATATGTCAACTGTTTGCTTTGTTTCCCTCCTCAAGGCTAACATGTGCATTTTTGGCTTGTAAAGTAGATGAATTTAATGTGTCCAGCGCACAGTTTGTTGGTAATCTTCGAGAAAGCCCTCTTGGACAGGAAAAAGCTCTTGAACAAATACTGGAATATGAACTACTGCTTATTCAGCAGCTGAACTTCCATCTTATCGTCCACAATCCATACAGGCCGTTTGAGGGATTTCTAATCGATTTGAAGGTAGTATTGTTTATATTTTGCATACTCCGTATACTAACATAATACAAATCTGTGGTGGGATGTGTTAGAAAACTTCTATTTCCTTTTGTGCCTGTGATCTTAAAAGATCTCATTTCTAAAGTGATAGGCAAATATCTGAAAGGAAGTTGGTTTCGTTGTGGTCTTTAAGCACTTCAGATTATTTTTGGAATAAGAAGATGGCCTGCTACTTTTTAGCTTTACAAAATATTGTTGAATTGTGTGTTCTGAGCTCACGAACCAGAAGACGAGGAACAGCTACTTACTTTCCTAAATACTTACTTTTTAGACTCGCTATCCAGTGCTGGAGAATCCTGAAGTTTTGAGGAAAACAGCTGATGACTTCCTCAATCGAGTGGCTCTGACAGATGCGTATCTGCTCTTTACTCCCTCACAGATAGCTCTCACTGCCATATTATCTAGTGGTTCAAGAGCAGGAATTAATATGGAAAGGTAGTCTTTTCTTTTTTGCTGTAGGTATGATTTAAACAGTTTATTTGCTGCTTGTATAAAATTCATTTGTTCTAGATATTCTTAACTAGTAGAAGTGTTTATTTACTGGTCGTTAACACTCTGGTATGTTCTTTAAGTATGTTTCAAAACTGAAGCAGTACTATTTCCCACCCCCCCTCCATATTTTCAAAAAACAGGTGATAAATGCAATTAGTTGGTGTCTGGTTTCTGTATTCCTTCGGAAGAAGGGAAAAAAAAATTAAACTGATGACTATGCCCTAATTAGAACAGCATAGGATTATCAGACTCATCTTGAAGATTAAAGAAAGTGGAAATACAGTACAAACTGAGAGTATGAAACACCTAAGGAATCACTTAAAAAATAAAAAGTAAGACTTTTAAGCATCTAAGGCTACAGAGTCAAATTAAATTACACCAAACTGACAGCTACTAGGCATGCGGAAACTAAGTGCTGTACTTCACTGGTACAACTGTACAATTTCCATGGAAACGGACTAGCAACCAGGTGCTGTTTTAAATCAGTCTGTTCTTTCTGTGGTCTAGCCACTGGTGTTTGCAAAGACCTTATCAAACACTTTGATGTCATTGCTGAAATGCATGGTTTGTTTGGTTTCATTTTTTTTTAAGGTCAAAACATAATGCTTTTCTTCAGGAAAAACAACTGAGGTAGTTGCTCTGAGTAGCTGTATCTGGGGTGTTCTGATTGCATGACACTCCATGCAAGCATTTTGCATCTAGAGTCTTAATGCCTGCAGGCACAAGGGCTGATGCTAAATCCAAACAGTTCTTTTTCAAGAAGCCTTCCTTCCACCTGCTCTCAATGAATCTCAAATCTCTCATGTTCTGAAAGAACAAGACAGTGTGGAAGTATCCTCTGCAGGGTTCCCTGTTGATCTCATTCCTGTGTACTACTTGTGCCAAAATCCAGAAAAGCATGCTTACAAAAAACTAGAATAATTCGTAAGTAGCGTGTGAATCAAGGTATGTGAACTTTGCGTATTCATGAACAACTCAAGTCTTTGTCACCTGTCTGCACCATAACCTGCTATAACCTTGTCATTTATTGTTCTGTGTGAGTTTGGGCTGCTGGATGGGAGAGAAGCAAATAATCCTGCATCTCAGGTCTTGTCAACCTGTGAGTAGGTGTGCCTGGAGAGGTGGGACAGAACATGGTTTGAAAACCTGTTGCTCCTATGATGTCAGTGTATAGGTCGGTCTTGAAAAAGTTAGATCTTCAGAAAACAACAGGTGCCACTGTGCTCTGGCTAATAGGTGGCTCTAAATTAATCTTCACTTCTGGTATCAGCACAAGGTTAAATAATACTCTGAAATTTGAGCTCTGCAAGAGCAGTGGTGCTGACAGAGAGAGCAGCTATCACCTTATAGTAATTACTGTCTTCATGGTGGCTGGTGCCTCAGTCTGGGCGCTGGAGCTGATACAGCCATGTATGTCTATGAAGCAAGTTTGAAGTTAACACAGACTGAACAGATTGATACACTTTGGAGTCTTTGGACTTCTCTAATTTATCCATAAGTGCACTTCCTGGGAAGGGATAAAACTACTTCATTGTTGTGGATCATGGTGAGAATTGTTGCTCATGTGTGTTGGGGTTTTACCCAGGTGGTGTGTGTCTGTATTAATGTTCTTTCTAAAAGGAAGTTTGAATCTCTTGAGGGAAGAGGAGGGGACCCACAGACTCTTACAGGGCACCATTTAGGATTTGGTTTCAGCTGCTAAAGGAAGCAGTTCTGCCTTTCAAGCTTTGCTGTCTCTCGGTCTGTCTGAAGACTACTCTTCTGCAGTATTTGCTTTTCTAGCAATCATACTGTGCAATAGTGTGATGTTAGTATGACACTTCATAGAATCTTAAATGTAAGTTGACTTAACTCAGTGAGACTTACTTGCAGTTGGAACTTTGGTTCTTTACATGGCCATTTTGTCATGTTTTTACAGAAAAAGAATGTTGAAAGTGACAGATTTGCTTTTTTTATCACTTCATAGCACTTACGTAACCAAAGCGTTCTTACTAAGTCTAATCATAAAGCTCTAGGAGATGTCAATAATAGATAATACACGTTTTATTAACTAATGGTAGCTGCCACAAATAATTATGACACTTTAAGAACTCATTCTTTTGTGTCTCTTTCCAGTTATTTATCAGAAAGTCTTATGCTGAAAGAAGACAGAACATCCTTAGCCAATCTACTAGATGGCATGAAATGTAAGTAAACATTGGAAAAATATGATAAACAGTATCTCTAAAGGACAAAACCAGCTTTTTCCAAACAAGAAAAGCTTTCAGCAGAAAGGTGTGCTTCAAGTGTTTTTCTTCACCTCAGGGCGTGCGTAAGGTAAGTAAAACATGGGCAGTAGAATGAACTACCTAGCATGTGGATACAAGGGGAGAAAACACTGAGACTCTCCTATGATATGAGAAAATGAAATTAAAAGGCAAAGGGCCTGATGCTTCTTGGAACATAAGTGCTATAAATTAAGTTCCAGCAAGTGACTCAAAAGTGAGAAATCTATATTGGGAGCTAGGTAATGTTTTTTGTAAGTCAAGATGAAATGATGCTTTGCTGTCACTGTGTCTTAAACATTACAGCTTCAGGCAAAAGCCTGCACATAACTACTTCTACCACCAGAGGGTACCTTTTCTAAGCTAAATGGTTAATGCTAAGTGATATGCCAGGATTTATATTTGCACTTCTGTTTTGCAGCAATAAAGATGTTTCAAAAGATGGTTAGGTTTGCTATATATAAAATAGCAAGAACGCTAGGATGGTTTGTCTGAGATAATGAGGAATGTAGTACACTGATTCTTACCCTTTTTTAATTAAACTAAAAGGCTGGGATATGAAATTTTCAGTAAGTAATCAGTTATTTAATGCTTTAAGCTAATGCACGCATTTAAAATGGGAGAGTGGTAGCATAAAAAATGCAGTCCTGTCACTCAGCTGAGTTTAGTAGTGAATGCACCGTACAGGTCACCAGGGTCTACAAATTCAGTCTAAATTGAATTTATAAACTTAAGGTGCTCTTCCCTTTCTCTTCCTGCTAATGAGTCCAGTCCTCAGGTTTCCATTGCTGAGTTGCAAAGGGAACATTGGGATCACTGCTTCTTCACTTGCATCATTCTGGAAGGTAGCTTTAGCCCAATGACAGCTCTTCCATAAACATATGATGGCTGGAAGGAAATTTTGAAGCATCTGTAAATGACTAGTTTTACAGAGAAGTGGTGATGGAGAAAAAAATCTTGTTTCTTGCAGGGTAGCTGTAAATTTAATTTGCATTCTTAACAAGACTAAACCCAATCTTTTCTTTTTTTTTTAAGACTGAGGTACAATGCTGGATGCAAAAAAATACCTGTGTATTTTGAAGTGTGTTAGCAGAGTAATGTGAACTCTACATTATTATAACACCTTGAGGAAATCCAGAATCAATGCTGATGACTTGTTTCAGTGTAGTTCTTTGTGCTCAGCTGCTTCTGTACCTTGATGTTACTTAGAATTAATCCTCAGATGTAAGATGATAGTTAAGTCTTACATAAGTAATCTTTCGTCCTCTAAAATTTGAGTGCTATGTGGGATGGGAAATTCTGTAAGCAAGCAGGAGGAGTTACTACTTTGAATGTCTAATGCTTGCTTTGACAAATACAAGGATTTTACTAGGTAAGCTTTCTGTCTCAACTGTTTGCACTATGTTGCATTACCCATTTAATGGCTAATGTTGCATGTTGCCTTGTGTAGGGTCTTTTGAGTGTGAAAGCACCAGATACAGTTTTAAAACCTTACAGAGGTGTGGACTTCAAAACTTTGTAGATTCTGTTTTTATTCTGTGTACCATTCTGATTTACTTTTTGTGTAGCTTTTTTTTTTCCTAGTAGAAGCTGCTTGAAAATGTATACTGTGCTCCTGTAATTATGAGGGAAGGGAGGGTAAACTGTTGGCTCAAGCTTAAGTATGAGGGATAAGCAGTAACAGTAGCCATACTACTGATTGATAAGCTTGTGTAATTCACAAGGTAGAGCAGAAATGATTTAATTCGGTTAGAGCTGTGTTGTTGCCACTGTAGGCATGAAAAATCTCATAAAGAAATATGAACTGCCAAGGCCTGAAGAGGTTGCTGCTATAAAACAGAAATTAGAGAAGTGTCACAGCTCGGAGCTTTCACTTAATACAAACCCGTAAGTAGATACTTATTCTTTGATGCATTAACTTCCACCTTTTATTGCTATAGAAACATTAACTTTCTCTGATCTGAGTGATTGAAAATGAAAACACCTAAATGTACACACAAGGATGTCTGTTCACATGCTTACTATATGAGTGTCTACTGGAAGCTGAGAACCAAGACTCAAAGTAGTGCTTTCGGTAATAGGTGAATATGTTCTTTCATGGTGATTGGCACTGCAGGCTGTAATACTGATTGTTTTGTAACACAGAACTGGAATCCTGGGTGGCTTCTGAGGTCTGGACACTTGATGTCATATGTCACTAGAATCAGGGGCTTTAAAATTGTACAACTGACACAAGAATTGTGTAAAGTGTTAATCTTTTCTTAAAACTTATGTGGATGGCAAAGTACTTCCTCATTTTTCTTTTCTGCCCTTTTCACTTTAGTACCCACTGTGAACTTCCAGTAAGCTGTTAGTTGAGGTTTCAGTAGTTTTTTTGTGATGAATATGTCCATAATCTAATCTTGTGGCCCAATAAGGAGACTCTGACTCTTATAAAAATACCTAAACATTTCACTTTTTTCCTGGATGGCGTTAGGAAGAAGAGGAAAGGTTATGAAGATGATGATTATGTCTCCAAGAGATCTAAAATGGATGAGGTCAGTAAAAGTATTGTACTTGTTTTTCCACTCTTAACTGCCAAGACAGAAGTAACGCAGCTACTGAGACAGACTTCTGCATCTGTTCATCATAGAATCATAGAATCGTTTAGGTTGGAAAAGACCTTTAAGATCATCCAGTCCAACCATTAACCTACACTACCAAGTCCACACTAAACCAATTAAGGCTAGACTAGACTAAACCATGTCCCAAAGTGCCACATCTGCCCGTTTTTTGAACACTTCCAGGGATGGTGACTCCACCAACTCTCTGGGCAGCCTGGTCCAATGCTTGACTACCCTTTCTGTGAAGAAATTTTTCCTAATATCCAACCTAAATGTCCCCTGCGCAGCTTGAGCCCATTTCCTGTTGTCCTATCACTAACCACATGGGAGAAGAGACCAACACCC